CCTGCAGCATAGTGGGACTCTGGATAACTGAATTAGTGACCAATATAGCTTGTGAGTAGATCGATAAGGATATAGTGTGATAAAATTATTAATTTCTCTCTTATCACTAAGGTAACGCAATTTTATATTTATTGTAGCTATAATCCCTACTATAAAAACTGTTACATAATATATATGAGATATTGTGTATTTCACCTAAGATGTATTTCACATATTTCCAGATCGTTTACCAGTTAGAGTAAGAGGTTCCTCGCTGATGGGTGGGTCTAACAGTGATTTCGACACAGCCCGTGACCAGACTACTGCTGGAGGGTCTGCCTGATAGTTACTCAAAGTTCTCAGCCCGTTCATGAACCCCAACCTGATCTGAGACGATCTGTCCATTCACTGAGCAGGCTGCAGTCATCTACGTGGAGGTCATGGTGTTCAGTTTACTCAGGGCTTGGTAGGGAGGACGAAAGTCATATTAAGAAATGGCCTTCAACCTCATCAGCAAGATTCCTGATGAACTGCTCTTATCCCTTCTCAGCAGTTGTCCAGCCCTTCGCACCAAGGGACATCGCAAATCCCGATTACCGTTCAGTCGAGCCACGCAGGATGAAATTCTACCTTGTCCTTGGGCATTCGCCAATGGACTCCTGCCATGTACCGAGTATTTCACGCTTAAAGGAATCCCATACAGCTACAGGGTTCGTCAGGTTTTGAACATTGTGAACTGATCTGAGATTGCTGCGGCAAACCTCCAAGCACACTTCTCTTTCGGACTTTCTAAGTGAAACGCCTTGGAATGATCACTGGAGAGACGGGGGGAGCCTTGAAGTGGGCCCATATGGTTTCCACAACCAATCTATGGTCAGTACCATAGAACTCGGCACTCTGGTAGGCTGTTCTGAGGGATCCTCCTCCAGCCCTGCACCATATCGCTATACCAAGTCCAGCGATGCGGGTTGGAGCGCTGATACCAGGAGCCAGGAATTCTCAATGGGATTGCTAGGTCTCCTGAGCCATGAAAACCGACAGACATCTCGCAGCCTGCTCGATCGCAGCCGTATACCGCATTGAAGTTGCCTTGTACAATGCGAACGTCTCGCCAGGGGCAACTCGACTACCACAGAGGTTAGTTTGACATAGAAATCCTCTTTCTCATCAAGTTTACAAACCTCGGTAGGAGCGCATGCAGAAGTAAGCCAAACGCATGCTTCAGTCTCCTTGGATATTGTGACCATTGCCCCGGCTCGACCAGTAGTTGGTGTATCCAACCATACTGATTGTGCTGTTGCCATGTCTCCTCACCTCCGAGAAGGCAGCCATCTCAACTCTCAACCGATGAAGTTCCCTTGATAGCAGGAGTAATTGCTCATCCTGCCACAAAGACATGGTGTTCCAAGCTCCCACTCGAATAGTCCGCCTGAAGCAGTTCCTCTGGGTAGACGCCACCTCTGCCAACGCCGCCGACGTTACCCCTTATGAAGGGGGAGGCAAGCTGTGTGGCCCAACGTCCGCCTGTAGGGTTCCTTTGGGCTTTGCCCAACATACTTTATCCTGGGTTGGCGGCTGTCTGGGCACAGGCGGGACAAGTAACTCCCGCTGTTAATCTGCGCTTTAAAAAGTTAACGGAAAAAGTCCTTAGCTAAAAATCATATGTAACTAAGTAACTAACGTGCCATAACGTGATCGAACAGGATCCGTTTTATGAATACATCAACGCCGGGCCGTCAGTCTAAAGTCGGCACCCACTCGAGTAGCATGGATTCCATAAAAATTAAGAACAATCATCAGCTTTATGGTGAAGTTAGGGTAGAACAGCCAGATCATTGACACTTTAGGACAAGTTTATGGGGACAATGGCCTTAGATACTCAACAACGTTTTAGAAGTGGCAGAGATGAGGTTAACGATCATCATCGCAGTAACAGGCCATCCACGTCAGTTCGTGTGGAAAACATCGATGCTATTCGCAACCTTATTGAAAATGAGCCGACACACTCAACACCGCGCAGACAGTCTAGTGGAGAGCTTGGGGCTGAGCAAGCTCTCAGCTCGATGGGTACCAAAATTGCAGCGCCCAGGTCAGCAGCAAACAAGGGCAGATCTTTCTACTGAGATTTTGAACAAATGGGATGAATACCCAGAAGTTTTCCTGCATAGAATGTTTACTAGGGATTATGGTGGGGATTCTGCTAGTTGACTTTCTTGAGAGCAAGAGAACAATTAATGATGCATATTATGAAGACGGTTGGAGAAAACTGGCCTTGACAATGCGCCCGTTCCTGGTACTCAGAAGACATGAGCTGTTTCGGTGGGACATCTTTCAACATCCACCTTACAATCCCGATTTATCCACGTCTGACATTCTTTTTGTGTTTGTTTTTTGTTTTGTTTCTAAACCTGGAGAAATTGAAAGGTATCCATAATCCATCAGTTGAAGATGTGAAAAAGGCTGCTTTGGCATGGTTTAACTCACAAGGCCCTCAGTTTTACACAGATGGTCTTAAACTGCCAATTTATTAGAATTCTGCGAGGCTCGACCCAAAGAATATTCGTATACTTGACATGCACAATCAAAGAAATAAATGCATATTTATCAGGCTAGACATGCATATCAACCGAGCAAATAGAAGTTAAATGTATATCTATCAGATATATAGACAGATATGCCTTGATTTCTGCGTCTGTATTTATGAAAATTCATTGGGTCGGGCCTGGCACAATTTTAACAAACAGGGCCGAAAGAGTGGTACCAACACGTGCAATAATGTATTGACCTAAATGGAGAATATGTTGAAAATAGAATTCATAACTAAACCTTTTCGTTCTACATTTCCCTTTTCTCTATTCTTTAACCTCATTTGTATGTAGGTAAATGGATAGATGGATAGATAGGATGGATGGATGGATAGATATGTAGTTTAATATCATAAAAACTTGGAGTAATCACGATGAATATGTTTCCTTCATTAGACAGTATTAAACCATTTATAGTCCTAAACAGCATTTGCAGTTAGTTTCTACAAATCGATTCAGCACTGACGATCACATACTTGAAAAAAACATATATATTTGCAATAGATAATATAGACTTTAGGATAGTTAAAAGAAATATTCTAGAAAATGTAAATATATTTCTCATTAAATAATCCTTCTGTACAATCGAGATTAACAACAATACTGGAAAAGATTAAACCTCCCTGGGCTTGAAGCTTCTCCAAGAGTATTGAAGAATCTTGTGTTGGTAGTGCCTTTGCCTTGCTAATTAATGTAGTCTCCCAGCCTCTTCTTCAAATGCCTGCTTCTAAAAACCATTACAAAGATAAAAATTTCAACAGAAACCTTATAGTTGTAAATTCACTGATGTTCATGAAACCCAAGGTGATCCATGCAAATTTGAAACTTTTAAATTCCAACTTCTACATTTACAAAGCGCTGAAACATCCGCTCCTGAACCAGTATTATGAAAGCTTAGTGGAAGTCATTTTTATCTGTGAAATGCATTATATACACTGAAAAGATCTTCCCTGTTGTTTGGTTGGTTTACACTTTACAGAAATGGTACACTAAAACATCTTGAGATTCTACTACTTTCACACAACACTGAAAATCAAGAAACTGAACACTACATTAATAACGCTAACATAGGCAGCAACCCCACACCGTGGATTCTCAATGACCATTACAGGTAATGATGGTATTACCGATGTTTAATGTAAGGCTATGTAATCTTCCAACACTTCACTCCATATTTTCTTGATAGGCTTATATGCTGCCGGCATAGTACTAACTCACTGTTCAAAAAATCTGCATATTTAGAAATGTTTATGGTGCATGTGTCATGTACTGCACCTATGCAAGTGCAGTGTGTGCTTATGTACGCGGTTAAACAAAAGATTAACACAAAAAATACCCCAGTATTAAATGCATGACAATTTCCCTCAAGATCAAGAAATCACTGAGCAATGCTCATTACTTAAAAAAGGTCAAAAGCTAAAACACCCATACTTAAGAAAAGAATGACATAACTACACCCATTTGTTGCCAGACCTATAATTTCTTGGATAAGGGAAGGAAAAAGTGCTGGAAAATGTTACACTGCTAGTACAACACTGTTTTCACTATTACAAAATTCTTGAGTAACTTTTAACAGCTACACCTTCATCCAGGATCCGTCAACTGATTAATAAGTATATTTATGCAGGATCCTTGTATGAAATTGTAGAAAGGCAAAGCAACTGTTACTCATCTCTTAATTGTAACAATGAGCACAAGATGGCTGCACCAATGAATCTGAGCCTATACATCTATACACTATTACCTTTTCACAGCTTACAAAGCAATGTCGTGCTTATCAGCTACACAGGGTATTGCTTAAGAATAATCCAACACCAAATTGGATTTCCCTTCACCAGGAGCAAGTACATGTTTCTCATTCAACACTTGCAACTTCTGAAAAATTACAAGCCATAACATAAACATCACCAACTACTAACACATTTACTTGACAGCTGGTGAAGGGAGTTTAACCCAAAATAACCAACATGATGCAGATAGTAAGCACCAGTTCTGATATAACAGGGTACTTAATCTACATCAAGACTATCAGTTGGGTTAGTCAACGATGACAACTTGCTGAGCGTTGGACTAACCTCACACTCATTATACCATGTGCTTTACTTTCTGGAGAACATAATCTGGGAAGTCTTCAATTATAGGATGGTACTAAGGAGATTGTTATTATTCATTAAACAGAATGGACTATCATCCCTGAACAGATGCTCCATATTCTTGATAAAGCTTCATGATGAATTAGAATCCCCTGGCATTTTACTAAGATGATACAAACAAGTTCAGTCATTAAAATCAAATACATAATTTACAACAATATTACTAGTTTAGCAAAAACAATATAAAAAAGAATTTCTAAAGGATATCAAAGCCACTATATTGAGTCTGCATAACATGACTAAGCATCCCATTATAAAACTAATTGTACATAAGCAAAGGTAA